GTGTATGGAATGCCTTCACCTTGGATGCCATTCTTCTCATCTTCTTTGTTAGTTTCATTTTCAGATCATTGTATATATCCCAAATGACTGACTTCTGTTAGAGACATCTCTTGCCATCAGATTTACAAACAAAAAAATCAAATCACACACAAGGAGAGGAATGTAGGTAAACAGAAAATAAGGATGATAATACCAATAGCAAGTGAGAGGGTGAACAGCATAGAGAGGTGGCACATTTGTGTGGCACAAAAATTCCACAGGTGTACTATATCAATGAACTACTTGGAAGTCTTGATTAAGAGATGTGTGCTGTGTAGTGAAAAAAGGTTGAGAACTACTTACATAGGGTGTTGAAGTTTTGCCAAGGTCAAAAACTAAGCTGAAGATAGTGTTATCCCTTAAGAGCTGGATCAGTTGAAACTCTTGCAGCATAGAATTTTACTGCCTGGATAACACCACTGATAACTCCATTATGGAATAGAGCCATGGAGGACACTCAACCAAACAAGCAAGAAAAGCTTTGGGATGTAGGTTACCTAGTTCCTGGAATCAATAAGTAATATACCAATATTAGATATCATAATTATGCAATCAATTTGGATAGATAGGTAGACAGGCAGGTCTTTAATAAGAAAGGGAAAAGGATCTATTGGTGGAGAGCCTTGAGTGTCAGACCTGGCCCAATCCAATCCCTTAGGAAAGAAAGACCCTTGACTCCATTTGGGTAAAGCAAAGGGTTCTTTTACTAAAGGTATTGGTTGCAGTAAAGTCAAGCCAGCTCTGAATTCTCCCACGCTCACAAGTTACAGAAAAGGTTCACCCACAGCTCATTCCTCTCCCCTGTGCTCAGTCCATTTCCAGACAGCTGGAGCTGACCAGGATGTTTTGAGAACGCTGAGATGTTTAGGGTTAATCCGCATATTTCTCAGGGTGCTCGGCCTTGGGATGTTAGTACGAACAGGATCCAACTGTTCTGGTCTTTATCACCTGTCATTCCCCATTTCCGATTTCCCATCATGTATGCACACAGCTTTATTGCCCTTTCATCCTCCACCCCCTTCCAGCCTTTGATGGCAGGATGCCTGTGAAGTGCCAAGCTGAATCGGGCAGAGCTGACATTGAGGGCAATAATGGAAGAGGTGCTAGCTTGAAGGAAACCTCAATCCCAAGATTGGAGAAGGCTCAGAGGGAAGACTGATGATTTGAGAAACCACAAAAACCCACCATAGATAAACTTATTGGGTTTTCATATTTAAACAAAACAGCTTGGGAAAGAAGCTGTTGAATGAGATATCACTAGATGAGGAAAAATATTCTTTTTCAGGCAATTTAAACTCTGCCCAAAGTTTCATTTTAAAAACAAACAAACAATAGAAACGTTAAAATTATTTATCTTGGTAAAGATCAGGTGGTTCATTATCCCGGGAATAATTATACATTTGCCATCCAATCTATGGCATTTTGTTCTGGCTTCCCTAGAGTCAGAACTTTAATAATAATTCATATGGACATTTTTTTCATCACTTCCTCTTCATTCCCACTACAGGAGCATGTGATTCTTGAAGGAACGTTTCTGATGGTCAATAGTTAATAGAAGAAACATCAGGAGGAGATTGTAGCACATTTTTAGACTAATCAATTTTATATTAAAATGGTATAAACTTTTGTGAGTTGCTGCTCTTAAAACCAATGAACCAACAGAGCTACCAGACTTCTGATTTTTTGGCTAACATAGCCCTCTTTTTACAACAGGGACAAGAACAGTAACTGATGAGATAGGAGGTGGCATGAACAATCAGTCAGTTCTATCCCTTTCTGTATAGACCAGACATATTAAATTCACGACGTTACATGATGTTGCGTGACGTATCGGAGCTTTTCCCCCATTGCCGGCAATGGGGTGGGCATGGTTTCCTTGTGACATGTCCGGCCCATGGGCCGGCAGTTTGACACCCCTGGTATAGACTAACAGTTGTTGATGGTAACACGAATACTGGATCACCAATACAAAAAAAAAAAAGATACAATATCTGTTTATATTGATCCAAATCTTAGCAGAGTTTATATGTGCTACATGAATATGGGAAGTGTAGAAAAGAGTTCAAGTGCTAACACAGAGGTTGATCTTTTTAGCCCTTCCTCCACATTGCCCACTCAAGTGCAATAAAATAATGCCTTTTTCAGTGACTATGAAACCCTGTTGAATATGAATAGACTTTAGCTTTTTTCAAGTTCCCTCATCATGCATAAAAATAATAGCACTTTTCTAACAAGGAAAGGGTTCTGTAATGGCAGACCTCCTGGATGATTTCTTGAGATGGGTTGTGTTGATAAAGAAGGCTGTGTGAATAATGGACTGAAAATAAAATATAATCCTGAGAGCTGTTATGTGGGGGAATTGAGGGCAAGACCAGCAAATAATTAATTTGCTGCATTGTGTCCAGAGAGCTTCTAAAGTAATGCAATAATAACTTGACATTAATATTACATTACTGATATAATCCTTTGGTTGCAAGGTGACTCAAACGATAGGATAAATCGCCATAACTAAGAGTTGCCATTCAGTAGGAAAGTGAAGAATTAGAGAGAGAATTGCAAAGAGTTGGACTAAAAGAAGAAATAAAAACAACAACAAGAAGAAACACAAAGTCCCTCCATTAAAAAAAAAAATCAAAATTGTATAAAGAAAGGTTTGCGTTGCTTTTATCTTTGAGCTTCACCACCTAGTGCATTTCCAATTCAGCTGAGATGTGGACTAGAAAAATATTGAGAACTATTTTTATGTAACTTGTTTCTTTATATCAAATACTGGTTAGAGGGGACCTATTTGCCCAGCTGCTGTTGCTACTTGACATTGCCAGTGTTTTGTTGAGATTATTCCCAGCCTTCCCTACCATCTCTGAGATTTGTGAGTCTTTGAAATTACAAGACAGAATGGTGGAAGAGGTAAAATTACTATGACAACGCTCAAGTTCTTGGTAACATAGATTTGATTTATTATTATATAGATGCTCTGGCATTTGGAAAATAGCAACATTCTCTTTGGTATTCTTAATTGAAAGGATTTATTTAATCCAATAAGCAGATTTACACTTACATCTAGGCATTCATGTTCAACTCTCATTTATTCAGTCTTCTATATTTGTTTCTCACTGAAGCCTACCAGAGAAATTCTGCATTTCTGGAAAACCTCTTATTTGTAGATTTCACGTGAGTTTAAACTCTTTGAAATTAGTCTTCCAATGATCATACTGGCCTGAAGAGGTCTTGCTGGAAGCAAATGTTGTTATATACAATGCAGTTTTCACATATACATGCAACATATACAGAACTGCAGTCAGAAGGAGGCACATCTGTAATTACATATGGCATTTGGCTTGGGCACCAGACCTTGGAATGACCAGTTTAAATTCCACTAGTACCCCATCTGGGCTGGGAAGGTCCAATGCATACTTTGGGCAGTAATAAATTAGTCCTGCCTAATGAGATTCAATTGTTTGAGACTACCAACATTACTTTGGCAAAGAAATTGGGATGCCTTCTTCATTTCAGCAAAATAAATCACATTGTCTCCATCATCTGATTCAATTCATTAAAGCAAACTTAAATCAATTCACACAGGTCCAATGACAGTACATGGCTATGCTCCTGCTCTTAACATGCTGACTTACATCCTACAGTACTTTGGAATTTTGGTAACTGTTTCCCACCTGGTGCAATTACTAATTTCATCACAATAACTGTGATTACTACTGTATGTTGGATGTGGGAGTGGGAAAACATTAATGAGTTCTTGCAGTACCTTTTTCCAGGTAATCTACCCCCCCCCCCTCTCTCTCTCTCTGTGTGTGTATGCAACTGAGTGAAACTTTCAAAGGGTCATATCGAGCCTTCTGTAGGACATGGCTTCCATAAAGCTTTAAGGAGAGGTTACTTTGTCACACCACTATGCTTTGCAAAGTTGCCCTTTCAAATGCTTTCCATACTGGTGGTCTACTCATTGTTGTAACATTGCCCTAATGCATATTTTAAGGCAGTATTGCATAAGAAAAGCTTTTCTTTAAGTACACATCTCTTGTCAAACATAAGGAGCCCCAACTTTTCTTTGCTATGTAGATATGTTGTTTTGAGTAAAACCTTTGAGGTGAGAAAAATGAATACTGGTAGGCTATGTATCACTATTGACCATGCCATGTCAACCCCCCCAATCATTGACTTTAAAAGAACTGTATGGGACACAGGGAATCCCCTTCCCATCCCATGTGGACAATGAATGATTAGTGTGCACCACCACTTATAGGGCAGGGTTAGACAATGTTTCTCAATCTTGGCAACTTTAAGACAGGTGGACTTCATTTCCCAGAATTCCTCAGCCAGCATGGCTGGCTGGGGAATTCTGGAAGTTGAAGTCCACCCATCTTACAGTTATCATGACTGAGTGATTCTGAGCTAATAGATATCTGCGAGCCTTCCATCTAAACTTTCAGCTAGCAAAATTGCTGTATGTCTTCCCTTTATGATCAGAACTAAAGAACTACACACATTGCTATTTTTTTTAACTTAGCTCCTTTCAAGGTGGGACATGATATTTTGACCAAGATAAAACCTTTTTTAAACACTCTAATGGGTTGTACTCTCTTTAAATGGCAATAAGTGAAATTATTTCATTTCCAAGCATTAGATATGAAATGAAGAGTCGATCTGCTAACAGCAACAACAACAAAAAGCTTTTCACCTTGGATTCACTTTTCCCTCTTTTAAGCTTTAGTTGTTTGCCCTAAAGAGTCCTGGGTGCCTTTAGAAGCCTTATTTGTTACACAATAAACCAGTCTGTCTTGTACAGATATGCAGTTTTGTACACAATATAGCGTGCCTGAGTGCACATTTAAGTACAATACCTATACCAGAGAGAAAATAATTGATTTAAGAGAGATGACAGCTCAGTAGCTCATTTCATACTTTCACAATATAGCAATTTTTCGAAAGCCTCTCGTTTTCTGTTTCCTTCCACAGTGCTGCTCATCTTGGCTTTCCATCAATTTACCTTAAGCATCTAAAACAGCAAGGGACATTTCTGAACACCCTGGAGTATTCATCCTGGATCTGAAATGGAAAGATAGCATGAGCACCTTGGTGTACTAATAGGTAAATGTATATGTTTTAAGCATCTTCTACCAAATGTGGCTTACTCTGTTAGAAGAGCTTTAGATAATTTGGCCCTGCAGAGTATTAGAAAAGATGCTGATGAGATTTTGACAATGTAAGTTGTTGAACATTACATAAAAAGTTTCAGTCCCGAATCAAATGACTCTAGTTAGTGAACCTCTTTAATTATTTCATAGGATTACTGATGTATAATCTGAAATGCCTTCTGAAATCCCAGATCTGTATTATATAAATCAGATTTCAAAGTCTTAATACATGACTGTGAATTATGCATGTGCATAAATTATTTTATTCAAGCAGGATGACAATTCTTGACTCACTTTTAAGTATAGGGCAGTGAAATAAATCAGACTCTAACATTACTATAATGCATTTAATGTGTGCATTTCTAACTCTCTCTACTTCAGATTATATTTTTCGTTAGATCTTATTCAAATCTGAATCAGGTATTTAAGGCCTGCATGATATCACTGTGGAAAATAGCTATTTATTTATTTGTTTGTTTGTTCATTTGTTTATCAACTTTCCAACTGATTTCTGGGGGAGACTATTAGGTTTGCAAGAAATTACTAGTCACTTGATTCCAAACAAGTTGTGGGTTTCTCCATATCCATTCTACATTCCTGGCAACTCCCAGTGAAGATGTATTTTTTTTTTCAAATTATCAATTTCAAAACTTAATTTTACAGCCCTGCTTAATATTTTTTTCAAGTATGAAATTGCAAGGTATGGTTCCTTTTTCCTTTAATCTGTTACCCTTTTGTGTTTGTGCAAATAAACAAAAAACAACCTTCCTCATCATTCTATCAATCAGTCAGTCAATCAACTTGGCCTTTGTTACTCTGTGATGTGCTCTTATCTTTCAATAAAACAGAGGTGGACACCTAATTCCTGTATGCCTAGAACAAGTTCAGAGAAAGGGTGTTGTTTTGACAAGGGACTACAACAAAGGGCTGCTCCATAAAGCTTCCTAACAGAGGCAGCGGTTGCTTTGTTAACTATTTCAGAAAGATATAAATATATAAGGATGTCTTCCCAAAACTTTTGACCACTGCAAAGGCACCCTGCAGACTTTTCTGTTCCAGTTTTAATGCATGCTTGCTACTTTCTCTTAATAGAATCCTTGATGTCTGGATCAACTGCAGTGTCTTATTTGAGATAAAATGTGTTCAGTAATTTTCCCACCTGTCAAGGGAAGGGAGGTGGGGATGAAGGGACTACACCACCTTATGAGAAAACTATTCACCAAGTCTCTGGAAGACTGAATGTCTTGCCTGGATTGGTCATGCAGGTGGGGGAGAAGATGACTGCTAAAGAGATGTTGCAACCCTGTTTCCTTTTGTTTGTGGGAGTGCATTGAAAGAAGCAAGAGGGGAACAGATTCTTAGAGCCTCTCAGATAGAAGCCGTGGGATTGGAGAGCCAGCAGCATCAGACAGCTGCTCTCTTATTCTCTTCCTACTTCTTCTCTTGCCATGAGTGGCAGAGAGAAATGGCACTTTTGGTGCCACTTTTCCAATCTGAAGAAGTAATGCTTGCATAGGATTAGAAAACTGACAGCAGAAGACTGCTCTGATGCCATGTAACTAATTCCTAGAGTGATCATTTAATGACAGTTCAACCACCATGGGTCATCTCTTGCCAGTAATTGTTACCCAAAGAGGATTTCCCCACTCTTTATCCTTCCCCTTCATTTTTCTTGTGCCAACACAGAAAAGGAATAGCACAAATTAAACCAGGGTACTGTCTTATCATCTTATCAACTATACGTTTCAGCTTAACATTTGCAGTCTGGATATACATTAATATTTCCAAACAAAGATTGAGGTAACTGAGTCTGTTTAACCTTCAGAAAAGATGATTGAGTGGATATGCTAGCACTTTTCAAGTATCTGAAGAGGCATCAAATACATTCCCTATCACAGATGGCAAATTATGGAATAAGGGCCTTAAGTAATAGATGGGTTAGACGTTGATTGAATGTTAGGCAAAATTTTCTATAAGGAAGAGCAGTTTGATAATCGAACAGTTACTTGTGAATATGACAGGATATATATTTCTTTGGGATATTTTAATTTAGATTACTGCACTGAGCAGATCATCCTGCATAAGAGGTTGAAAACCATCTAAATGATGAAATGAACATAATTACCAGTATTGCCCTTATTCTATGGGTGATCGAACAGTGCAGTGCAGCCATTGGAAAAGTTTTACTAGTTTGGTTTGCCGTTTGAGTGCCAAGACCACTACTTGGAAAATGCAAGTAGGAGCTTCAGAGAAGATTCTTTTATCGAGACTGGGGCTTGGGTGACTAGTTGCCCAAACTTTCCAAGAGCCAATTTTATTCAAGCTCTTCTGAAACAGCTCTGGCTTTCAAGTAGCTGCTATTTACAGGAAGGAAGGAAGGAAGGAAGGAAGGAAGGAAGGAGGGAAGGAAGGAAGGAAGGAAGGAAGGGAGGGAGGGAGGGAGGGAGGAAGGGAGGAAGGGAGGAAGGGAGGAAGGGAGGAAGACAGGGAATAAGTGAGTGATTAAGTGAGTGAGTGACTAAGTAAGTAAACAAGTAATATATTGACAGAATGACAGGGAGGGAGGGAGGGAGGAAGGAAGGAGGAGAGAGGGAAGGAAGGAATATACTGACAGAAAGACAGGGAAGGAGGGAGGGACGGAAGGAAGGATGGAAGGAAGGAAGGAGAAGAATATTTTAAGGATAATTTTGTATAAATGCACGTCATGTTCTATTTATATACATTGAAAAAACCCTTACTTTTCGTGACAGCACACAAAGAAATATAAAGATGAACAGTCCCTGAAATGCATTGAAAATTGTGAAAAGATATGCCGTGACCACTGATCCCTGGATGACATGAAGCACGCCAAAAATCCACGTAGCCCCCAGGAGAAAAAGGAGAGAAAGTGCTCCTCGGGCACAGGATCTAGGGAGAAAGAGAAAGAAGAGCTGTTAGCCCCGTTTCTCTTTCTAGTTCCTTCCCTTTAATGTGAGTCCCTGACAAACCCTTGCGTTCTGCCTTGCAGTGACATGGCTTCTGCTTTAGGCTGTGCTGCAGTGCCGTGGCTGGAATAAAGTTCCTCTTTTGTTTTCTGAGCAGAGTCTACCAACAAAAGTGGAAACGCTGATGGCTTTTAAACACTGGCTGTCTTAATCTTCAAATCTGTTTTCTCTAGTGTGCTGCAGAACCATATGATTTGATTTTAAATCTACTGTTGGTGCAATTCCCCAAGGTAAAACATATGTCTGTTATGAAGTATACCCCCTAAGAAACCTTGGGAAAAAGAAATGTATGGTAGGCTCTGAGGTCAGCACATGTGCCAGGCATCAGAGAGAACTTTTGGGCTGTTTCTCAGCTTCAGCCTCAGAGACAGTGCTAGTTTGTTCAAAACACAGACTTTCTCCTTATTCTGAAACCATTTTGCTTTCACGATGCAAAGGAGGTTTAAATTGTTTCAGGGTCAAGATATTGACTTCCAAACAGCTTACAGATCTGTTTCCTGATATTTCTCTCTCTCTCCTTTTACGTTAACACATTGTAATATAAGTTTCTCCAGCTTTGTTCATGGGCTGTGACAAATTACACAGTGCGCTCTTGCATATGGACTCAGTCATTAATTTTCTGTTTCATTTGCAGCACAGTGGTTTTCAACTCTCTTTGCATGAGAAAGTCTCTCTCTCTCTCTCTCTCTCTCTCTCTCTCTCTCTCTCTCTCTCTCTCTCTCTCTCTCTCTCTCACACACACACACACACACACACACACACACACACAAATCTCCCACCCCCATCATCTCTCTTTTCATGCTGCTTCCTTAGACATGTATTTGACTCCATGAGACTTGGCGCTCTGTGAGAGCTGATCAGGTGGAGAAGGGGAGCAAAGTGATCAATCAAAGAGCTGCTAAATCCTACCTATAAATCTAGTGCAATGACTTGAAACAATGTGAATGTTTCCAAGCAACAAAAACAGTAAGTTGCTTTCAATGGTCCCTATAGCACATTCCAGCTTTTTCCAGCACAAATACTTTTCAAGGTCTCTATAAATCAGTTTTAAAGAAAACAGATTGATGGAAAAATCATAGCAGCCCATGAAATAAAATTGGTTTTAAAAAAAAGAATAACAATAAAAAACAAACCCCGGTGAAGGAGGAAATAAAAATGGAACACCTATTTCTATAGTCTCTCTGGAAATAGAGTGAAACATCAAAAGCCCTACTGAGAGTTTAGAACAAGAGAGCTAAACATATGTTTGGCTCCCCTTACCAAATGTTCTCATCTCTGGATTCTTATGCGATATGAAAGCTTTAATCTGGCTTTCAACAGTAAGATTTAATCTCAGATTTAGTTTCTTTCCCATATATAACATTTGTTGTAAAAAACAAAACCTCCCAAAGCTTTAACTCTGAAGGATGATCTAGAGCAGGGGTGTCAAACTGCCGGCCCGCAGTTTGCATCATATGGAGGCTGCGCCCACCTCAGCTCTGGCGATGCAAAAAAAAAAAAAAGTTGTGATACGTCACGACATGTCACGTGATGCGGCAAGTTTGACACCTGTGATCTAGAGGGACCACCTTCCCAGCCAACATCTGCAGAACCAGAATACTTAGCAACCAAAGTTTCTCATTTGAGCAACCAAAGTTTCTCATTTGAGAAACTTAACACACCTTAAAAATATTGATATAATAAGAAATAATGTTTTTGCAAATGTGAGGAAGTCCTTTTTGTTTCCCTCTTATTTTGTTCCCAAGAGATCCTTATATAAGAATATCAAGATTCTTTTGTAAACAAAAGCATCCTGTGGAATTTGGTCATCAAAATAGATACTTTAATGCAATACAGCGAGGATGTCTTTTCTTATTACATTAAGAAACTAAAAATGCTTCAAAGATTTGTAGTTAGCTAAGACTAACATTGTTAGGTAACACTTTAAAACATGCTGCCAAAGAATTCTCTCAAAGTTGTATCTTACCTTATATTTTCATAGCAGCTAACTTCTGGCTTTAGCATAGCTGTTTGACGAAATACTTTATAGATAATTACTCCAAATGCCATCCAATTCACCTTGAGAAATATAGATTGATGTTTTAGTTTAGAAAAAAAAAGCTTTTCCAGTACACATTTACACTATTTTCATATAAAAAAAACTAACCAAATAAGTCCATTTTATGTATTCTTGAGGAGGAAAAGCCACTTTATAAAGCAGCAGTAAGTCTTGCACTTGCGCAAATCAGAAGTATAATCCTTTTTTAATCTCAGCTTTATTAATTTCCTTACAGTTAAAAATAGGAAAAGGAAACATAGTACATATAAATTGTATTTATAATTAATAAACATCACAAGGTAGTAAATGGCATGAATAGTGGAAAAATAAAATAAAACTGAAAAACAAAAACAAAACCAAACAAAAAGAACCTGAAAGGGGAAAAAAATATCATATTTTGTCAACTTTTACATAGTGCTGAAACAGTATTTACATCTTTAAACATATTTACATTTTTATTTAAAATATGTCATTCAATTAGGAACATTTATTTTCTTACCCAACAATGTCCAAATATGTATAAGCAACTTAGGTGCTGGAAATATCACAATATTTCTATTGTACTTGGGATGAAGCTCTTGCCAAAATTTCAAGGGTGCCAAGTAATAAATCTAACTGGGTGCTTAATAGCACATACTGTATTTAATACAATTTTTATTCTAATATATTGCATTACTGACATTAGCAAATAAGTCAACTGATATAGTTTAAAATCAGGAAAATAGAAACCACAATAATGAAATAGAATGGCACTGTAATTCAATGGGTTTTAATCCAAACCAAATTAGAGGTCAACCTAAAATATTTTGCATTCCCCTTATTGCCAGAAATACAACACCAATAACAGGATGTATTTATAGAAACTTCGAGTACAGAATATAGAAGTATATGAGGACTTTGCAATATGTTTACATTAAAAGATTCTGTGTCAATCTGGCAATAGCTTTCTCTTCATCAAACAATCTAGTAAAAGAAACAGAAAAACAAATGAATATTGTTTTCCCAAATTTAAAAATATTAAAAACTAATAACTGGTTAGAAATGTTATATTTGTTTCACTAGCAACTAGTAAAAGAGAAATATAAAACTTCAGCATTCAGTGAATAATAGTATCCCATAACAGACATATGGGATAACACTATCCCATATGAGACAGGAAGAGCTTCTTCTCTAACAATAATACTTGGGCTATTCTGCAACTATTCCTATCAAATAAACTGCCTGAAAACAAGATTACATTTTGCTTCTCCTTATGAAGTCACAATAGCTTTTTCCAGTTATAGGAAAGGGAAAGAATGATCATTTTCTGCTTTCTGAGGCTGGGGTCTTTATAGGAACTAAAGGTCTTGAAAGCTCCTCAGCAAAGCACATTTTCTGAAAATTATCCTTTATTCCTGATACTAGAGTAAGTAGAAAGGACCCTTTTTTTTCTTCACACCACAAATGATGTTGCAACCTGTGCAGCAGTTATTATGGAAAGCAAATACACATACACACAATATCACAAACCAAACCAAAACTAAGACCAATTTAAGTACCTAAACTAAGAATCACTTATCTAGAGAGGTGGAAGGACCTTCATCATCTGGAATGTTTTAATTTAGATCCTTGCTCTTGAGCATGGAGTTGACCTCAACCATTCCTTCTAGCTCTATGATTTAAATTAGCTATGTTTTCCTTTAACTTGGATTTTAATTTAATCAAAAAGGATATTGCAATGGTTGTATCTTTGAGGTAAACATTAGGGGCCATGACAACACTGCCATTCCAAAACTGAATGCATATCATGTAGAGAAAATAAGAAAGAGAAGGATTAAAATAATATTCTCTGAAATATATTCTAGAACAGGGAAGAGGAAATTATGACTTATCTTATTATTGAACTGTGCCTCTGTGAAATGTCCCTTCACATTGACCATACTTGCTGGGGCAGCTGGGAAATATATTTCATCAACACCTTTTAAGTTTTGGCTTCTGGATGGAGATCATGATGGACTAACATACCTCCGCACTGTGGAGACAATGCTGATGCAAAGATTGGCAGCCAGGGGTTGAGCCCAGGCTGATTGATCTTCTTTGAGACAAGGAGAAAGTTGTGAGATCACTCATTTGAATTCTGGATGGTAGTTCCACATGAAAAAATTCACATGACCCTAGGGAACTTGTAGGTAACTTATGAGTAGAGCTCTAGCAGCCAAGGAAGAAAGCATCACACTCACAGCCTTTGATAGGTTGGAAGGAGTATTTAACATTTAAGCAACAGAGATACCTACTTAATTCAGTTCAGAAGGCAAGAGATTTTTAAGAAAGAAACTGAAATTTTTAAACAACACAATCAGTTAATGCAAAAGGAGAAGCCATTGCTCCTTGATGCTGTTTCCACCATTATATTATATTAATCTTATTCAGGTTTCACTTTCAATCATGAACATGAGAATCCATTTGAACATTTTAATGTAATCCTGGTGCTGGGTCTTCATTCAGGCATTCAAAGGAGCATCTATAGCACTGGTGTCAAACTTGCCACGTCATGTGACATGTAGTGACGTATCACAACTTTTTTTGCACTGCTAGAGCTGGCGTGGGCACGGCCTCCACATGATGCAACTGGCCCGCAGGCTGGCAGTTTGACACCCCTGATCTATAGGTTTGCAGTGATATATTTGTGCTGCTGCAATTTGCTCTATTAGTGATTTTTGCATACTGCATTTCTGGAAAAATCTAATATAAAGCAGCCAAAAGAAGATTATTTAGGTCATGGAAATAACACCATCAACCCATCCTCACATTAACAATAGAAAACTGATAGTCTCTGGTTTACCTGCAACTTAAATGTAAAATGTAAACCGATCACAATGTACATTAGATTTAAAATTAGACTTTATATTTAAGTTCCACTTTTCATATTTAGATAAACATGTCCAAAATCCAAACTTTTTAAAATTAGAAATATATATATATATATATATATATTCCCTTTTATTAATGAAAATACCTGTGATGAGGGGGGCGGATAGAATATTATATCAGCAACACAGGAAGTACAGAACTGAAGGGAGAAAAGCTTGTTTCTTGGTGAATAATAAGATAAGATAGCAGACTATCGATTAGTAACTGAATACATAAAGGAATAATATAAAGATATAATAATGTACTAAACTAGTAGCACACTATGGGCATTTTTTAATGCTAAAAGGTTATGTCGATTTTATTCATCCTCAATATTCATTATCCTTTTCTGGTTTTCATTGTTCTAAACTCTTCTATCATTTTATTTTGTTTTATTATTTTTTTGTGATAATAAAGCATGACAGTTAATCCAATAAGAATGTGTATTCTTAGGAGGGAATCAAAATGGAAGGCCAAGTAACCCTATTTGAATGAAGAACTCCTAAGGAAGATTAAGAAACATTTTCCGGCTGATATAGAAATGGATAGGTATTTAGCACCTCACAGTACAAGAATTCCTCTTTGCTAGAATATGGTGGGAAAGGATGGAAAACATTTCATGAACAGAGAAAGGACTGCATGTAAATTCTCATATATAAGAATCAGAATCCAGATGATTTCTACTTAAAATATCCAACTTCTTTCCAGTTGTAATTATTATGGCCCCCAGAGAGAAGAAGGCCAGCTGTGGGTTTGAATTCGTATTGGTTTATGAAATCTTTCAAACTTCTTGATCCCTATGGTATTTACCAAGACAAAGCTGTCCATATTTTAGTTTATATTCTTTGGGTTATTTGATTCAGCAACTTTCAGTGTAAACAACAATAAAATAAAGTATCTTTTAAATGAAAAGTTATTGAACGCTACAGTATATAAATAAATCCTCCAGTGTATTAACTCTGTAGTGGCTGTTTTCAGATGGAAAGAACAGCAAGTACGAATCTTTTTAATTCTAAGTTCCTCTGGAGAGAAACAGAACGCCACACGATATCCTAGTGTGTTAGATTTTGCATTAGGATCCATGACTGAGTTGTAAGACAGCCAGACAGCTACATATTGAGATCACATCTGAGGAATACAAGGCATTTCATCTTTTATTGGCAGTTTGCTTAAACAGCTGGCTTTGAATGCATTTCTTGCCTTATGTTGGCATACAGGAAAAAGAACTGAATTTTGATTTGCCCAGCCATAGACTTTGTTATGATTTTTTTTTTAAAGGCCCGGAAGCATCTAGTCATTTTCTGAAGCCATTTTCCCTAGGCATTAAAAAACCCCATATATATATGATATATTGCATCATCTCAGATCCAATAGAAAGATACTTTTTCCTGTCTATTAATAAGGATCAAGGGATGCTGGGTGGAACTAGGAGAGTAAAGTTCTAAGTGAGAGATAAGTTAAAAAGAAGAGAAATGAATGAGGGGTTAAATAAAATATATGATTCTTGGAAAAGATAGAATGCTGCATTACAGGAGAAATGAACTAAAGTTTTTCTCTCTCTATTGGTGTCTCTGCTTTGTTTCCCCTTTCAGTACACAAATTATTCCTATCAGATTCTGCTTTAATCTGCCCATTGACCTTAGGATGGTTTATAGGCAAATAAAAATAAATTAATAATTTCACATTAAATGAGAAATAAAGCAATATTGCAAAGACCTTTCCCCCTCCAAAGTGAGAATGGCTCCCATCCTCCTAACCTTTCACAACAGTCTAAAGACTTGGCTCTGCCAGTGGTTTGGGGCCCCAATGGAAGTGTATCACATTGGAAATGGTTGATGGGCCAATAGCAGATCCTATCTCCACCCCTGCTCATCCTACTCCAGAGTCACCTCATGGTGAGCTGGGCAGCAAATAAATTTAATTAATATAATGACTGAAGAGATGAAATGTCTGCTTTTCAGTATAAAAACTGAGGACACATTTATTTATTTATTCATTTATCAAATTTCTATATGCCCATCACACTTGCGTGGCTCTGGGCAGTTTACAAATAAAATAGTCAACACTTACTGACACAGGATGTAAAATTATACTATCAGCATCCCTTATCCTTCCTCACCATTCTTCTACT